AAGCACTCCTGTCCTCTCTCCCTCCTTCAGTCTTCTTATTCACTGGGCATTAAAATAGTTACTATCTGATCCATCCCATGAATTAGCTTTCTGATTTGCCCTTCCCTTGATAACCCCTTAAGTGTTGGAAATCTTGTATTTCTTAATGGTTTCCACAAACTTTGTAAACAGCAGTCACTCAATAAATATGTTTAACTGATTGGTAATTATAGAATTATAGCTATGGTATAAAAAACTTATGACAATGAGATTTTCCTCCCTAAAAATGTCTGCTGGACATTCTTGGTTTGCACGTCAGTCCCTGAAGAGGAATTAGGACTGTCTTGTCTTGGGCGATGCCTTGTTTATTTCCTGTGCCATCAAATCATTTTCATAGTCTTTATGGAGGACCACAGTGGTGGGATGAGGAACAATTAAGCCAGTTTCCCTTACAGCTGCCTCATGAGTTTCCGCCTGTACATTATCTACACTGCTGTAAATCCCTGGTGTTTTTAAATTCAGTTCTATCAGGTTACAGGGCTTTGCACACACAGAGACCTGGGTTTGAAACCTGGTCCAACTGCTTAGTAGCTATAAAATCCTGGGAAAATAAGTATCTCTTGACGTCAGCTTCTTCATCTTTAAAATATGGATGACTTGGAAGAGTGTTGTAAAAGTAAATGAGATTATATTAATGTAAGAAATGTCTGAGGCACAGTAATTGCCCAATAAATGGTTAGTCATTATTATTAAAAAGAAGAGGAAGACACAGCAGGAGGAGGAAGAGGAAGGTGTAAGAACATTTCCTAATTTTTATTTTCCTTCCATTTGTTTTCTTGGGGCAGGAAATGCCCCCACTGGCAGCTCTTGAGAAAGGCTGGAAATCTCATTTTCTGAGTGCAGTGAGAAAAACCATTCATTTCTGTCCATTGAGGATGATTTAGATATGGACCTGCCTTCAGGCAGGGCAATGAGCATCTATCTATAGACACTGCAGAGGCAGTGATTTTTGACTTTTATCCAGGAATGGTTCCTGGCACATATGAGGCACTTGGTAAATGTCTGTTTATTGAATGAACCCCTTCTAGCCCAAGGCCACACAAGATGCAAGTTCACCTCCTAGACTCCCCATCATGGTGTTCCATGGAGCCACTGGTCCTGCCACTCACATTTATCCCATATGAATCTCCTACTGATGTTCAAAAATAATACTGTTGTTTCTGTGGCTATGTCAGCACTGAAGGCCTGTATCCAAAGGAGAATCCTGGGAGATGGGAGGCTGTCCTGGGCATACCTGGGCACCAGAGCTGACCCCACCAGCCAGTACAGTGGTCCTTGAGTCAAGCAAGTGACAACTCAGCAGGTCCAACTTGCCAACAAATGAAAAAAAAAAGAAGAAGAAGAAAAAGAAGATGAAGGACGGGAAAGATCAGCTATTAGGACTACTCTGATGGCAGGCAGGGGAAGAAATACTTATTTTCTAGAGTTAGGCTTTATTTGAGCAAAGCTAAGCAACACTACGCTTTTTCTTTCCTGATAATACTGGCAAAGAAATATAAAAACCTATTCTAAAACTTGCCTGCACTTCAATTTCATAATGCTATCCCATGGGTGAAAAAAATCTGCCAAATAACATATAGGAACTAGAATGGAAATAAGCATAATCTTAAAGTGGTCCTAGGCTTTTTTAAAACAAAGGACAGAACATCAGTGAGCAGCAACAACAATGTGACTTTCTCTACTTAATGTGCAGCATCCATGATTGAGGCCAGGCTGTACCTGGTCACAGGGAAGAAAAGAAAACACCAGCCCAAGGACTAGACTATGCGTGATGTGTGGGAGGGCTGCTTCGTGTGGTTTCATTTCAGAAACACTGTTGTGGCTGGGCCTCCAGATCTAACACCTCCTTCAGAGAACAGCGTCCACCTACATTGGGATACACATCCCTGGCCAAATGCAGCACTGTTCTCGCCCTTCAACTAAACTGTGGTGACGTCTGGGAAGAGAAGTTGGAGGGAGTGAAGGATGAGCCACTTTTGCTTTTTACTTGATATATTTCTGTACTGTTTAAAACGTCTTATAAATAGCATGCATTACTCTATTGCTTAAAAATACATACATATATATTCCCCCAATTAAAGCATGTCTATTCATCAGCAACAAGCTGTTTCAACCATTTAGCTGTTTCAACCATTTAAAACATTACCTCCTCCCTCACCTTTGCCTTCTCTGCAGGCCACAACCCAAACCCTTGGTAACAATCTGCTATCGGTTTGAATATTAGTAATTGGAATAGCTAACATTCTTAACTCTCCAATGGGCAGGTCTTGTGTAGAGAGTTCAGGGTGAAACCCACCCGATCTCTTCATTCTTGTCCTCATGTGGTCATAACCAACCGGCCCTTGAACGAGAGTCATGTGGTCCTAATACGTTCAGAAGGCCCATTTCCCCTCACAGATGGAGAGCTCCGAGGCCTGAGTGGAAGGCAAGCCAGGGCCACTGGCCAACCTGGGTCCTCTCCAACAGTAGAACTTTCTCTGCATGTCCCTGTGTTACTCATTGCCCAAACCTCCCTTGTGAGTCATGGGCTCTGAGGGCTACAGGGCAGGGCAGTGAGGCCTTTTCCAGGAGGGATGTCCTGAAGCTACCATCACAACTGCCATATCTACCTCCTGGGGCTCTGAGTCCCCTCTGTGTCTCCCCACAGCCATGCCCCCCCGCCTCAGCCGTCCTTCTGAAGAGCCCGCCTGTCCGGGTCTGCCCTGCTGAACACCACCCCATACCCAGGTGTCTCCTGCAAACCCCAGGGGCCTGCACACCCCCTCCGGGAGGGAGGCAGACCCTAATGGGCAGAAAGGAACGAATGTGGTCCCAACAGTCAGAACCATCAGGGATGAAATTAGCAAGGTGGAAAAAAAAGTTAGCAGGGCTTGCACAGGGTGTAGCCAGGGAAGCCTCTCTGAGGTCACCTTGATGTGAAGTCCTGGGGGATGAGTAGTAGTGGCCGACTGAAAGCAGGAAGGAAGGAGTCCAAGTCAAGGTAATAGGCCAGAAGCTCTGAAGAGACATGGGTGTGCCGTGGCCCCTCCCCGGATCTCCAGGCTGATTTGGTGAACAACCTATTCCTGTATCTCTACTCTGTGGTCCAACAGGCACCTCAGCCTTCACACATTCAAACCAATGCCCAATACACCTCCACCACCACCACCTTGCCAAACCCTGCTCTTCACACAACATTCTCCATCTCAGTGAAAGGCAACCTCATTCTTTCAATTACTTGGACCCCACACCTAGAAGTCATCCTAGGCTCCTCTCTCTCAAATCCTAGTGCTTCAGGTATCCTACCACCTCTTCCCACCTCCACTGTTACAGCCAGTCTCAGCCATCATCATCCTGCACCTGGATCACGGCCAGACACCCTGGTCTTTCTGCTTCCTCCTCACCCCTCCACTGCCTGTTCTCCACGCAGCAGAGGGATGCATTTTTAACACAGGAGCAAGTGACTCCTTGACTTCTCTGCTCAAAATTCCCAATCGCTTCCCATCTCATCCAGGTAAAGCTGGGCCCCTACAATGGCCTTCATGGCCTCACATGGCCTGTGGCCTCCTCTGCCACTGCTCCTACTCTGGCCTCAGTGCCCAGGACCCCTGGTCTCGCTGCACCTGACACACTGCCCCTCGAGCTGACCAAGAACGTTCCCACTGCAGGGCCTTGGCACCGCTGTCCCCAGCATCTCCGTGGCCCACTCCCTCACTGCCTTCTGTCTCTGCTCAGATATCTTAATGAGGCTGCGTTGTCTTTAAGCAAATGGGCAGTGCATTCTAAACAGAATCACCTGGAGCTTGTCTAAGAGAAAGTTAATGGAAAGATCAAAGAAATGGAAAGACACCCAAACACAGAATGTGCTCTCTCTCTCTATGTGTGTGTGTGTGTGTAACACACACACACGCAGTTGCCCCTGAGTACCCACAGGGAATTTGTTCCAGAACTTCCTGTGGAAAATCCATGGGTTGTCAAGTCTCTGACATAAAATGGTGTAGTGTTTGCTTACAACCCACCCACATCCTCCTGTATACTTTAAATCATCTCTGGATGACTTGTAACACCTAATACAATGTAAGTGCTATGTAAATAGTTGTTATATTGTGCTGTTTAGGAAATAATGACAAGAAAAAAAGTCTGTACATGTTCAGGACAGATGCAACCATTATAGGGGTAAACTACATTTTTGACCCACCGTTGGTTGAATCTGAGGATCTGGAACCTGTTCATGCAAAGGGCTGATTTTGTGTGTGTGTGTGTGTGTGTGTGTAGTGGTTTACTAAACATTATATACATATGCACACACACACACACACACACACACACACACACACACACACATAGTGGGTGACCAACAGTGGCTGCTGTTGGGTGCATGAGTGTGGGTGATGTTCTGTTTCTTGCTCTGGATGCTGGTTATGGTATACAGAATGGTTTGTTTGTACAAATCCATCAAATAGTATATTCATGATACACACACTCTTCTGAATTTGTGTTTATGGGTCAATACAAGTTTTGTTTTGTTTTGTTTTTTGAGATGGAGTCTCACTCTGTCCCCCAGGCTGGAGTGCAATGGCACAATCTCGGCTCACTGCAACCTTCACCTCCCAGGTTCAAGTGATTCTCCTGTCTCAGCTTCCCAAGCAGCTGGGATTACAGGCACACAGCACCATGGCAAGCTGATTTTTTTGTAGTTTTAGTAGAGACAGGGTTTCACTGTGTTCCACAGGCTAGTCTCAAACTCCTGAGCTCAGGCAATCCACCCACCTCAGCCTCCCAAAGTGCTAGGATTACAGGCGTGAACCACCGCGCCCAGACTTTTTTTTTTTTTTAAAGAAAGCTTCACTAATATGCGATTTACATATGTTGGAGACATACAGCTAACACACACTCCCTTTCTGCAACATTTGAGAGCAAAATTTAGTAACCTCATGAAACTTGACTAAGTGGCACTTTGTCTCTCTATGCAAGAGACTTACCATCCCACGGTTGCACTGGTCAGGACTGCATCAAACAGCAATATTGATAAGCCAGCTGTGATTATCTGTAGAAAGAATTTCAACAAAAGGTCATCACACCAGCAGGGCTCTGGTAACCTCCACTGTCATTTTTTCACAAGCTTAGCTCATTTTATTTGGGATTCCTGCCATCAGCCACTCCTTCCCACTTCCCATGTCCTTTTCCCCCACATGCTTCCTAGTCAGCCCCCCATACTTAGCGGCGCCTCTGAGCCGAGCATTTGGTATAGAAAAGGCTAAGTCCTGGTGTGTTTTGGAGGTGAGAATGTTCGAAGAAGCATTTAACTTCCAAATTCTTCAAAAGGGAGGCGTACAGCCAAGGCCGCCCTCATCTCTCTCCAGGGAAGGGGTATATTAAGAAAACTTATTTCCATTTTGTCTCAGCAGTGCAGAACTTGTCTCCAAGGTCAGATATGCTCATTAACCTGTTCCCAGATCCTCCAGATAAAAATGTATCTGTCACCCAGCCTTCATCCAATGCACTGTCTCTCCATCCTCTCCTACTGCTCCCATCTTTCTGATCCATGACACACATTCTAAGAAACCAGGTGCATCCTGGGGAAAGGAGGTCAGGAGTTCAAGACCAGCCTGGCAAGCATGGTGAAATCCCATCTCTATTAAAAATACAAAAATTAGCCAGGCATGGTGGTGCATGCCTGTAACCCCAGCTATTTGAGACGCTGGGGCAAGAGAATCGCTTGAACCTGGGAGGTGGAGGTTGCAGTGAGCTGAGATTGTGCCACTGTACTCTAGCCTGGGCAACAGAGTGAGACTCCATCTCAAAAAAAAAATTATATTTGCAAATATCTAGAAGCTGGAGGAGAGGGAATTGTTATCTCCACATCTCTCAAGGCTGGAAATTCCAGAAAAGTGTTTCAGGAATGGTAGCCACAGGACTCAGATCCCAGATGTACCTTGAACCCCTCAGCACCAAGAGCATGTGCGAGCCAGGGCCCAGCTCTGTCCACACTCGGAATGTCTGCTTAAGGAAGGATGCTTCTGGCTTCCAGTCTTCTGCATCCTGCAGGTCAAAACAGCTTCTGTGGAGAAGGTAACCTTAAAAATCTGCTTTCTTGCCCTGAGAGGTGGGATGTAGGCTGGGATGGGAGAGGTTCTGTTGAGCTGGAGGTCCTCAGAAACGTCAGCTACCATCTCCCTTGCGGGGATTTCACATGCTGTCTTGGAGGCCTCTTTGGGTCTCCAAGCTGGGAGCAAGGCAGCAGGCAGGCAGGCAGAAGGGAGTGTGTTTATGAACCTCATTGTCACTCCTTTACTATCTCAGAAGTCTGGAACTACAAACCCAGAACCCTCGTGATAGGATATAAACTTGGTGAGATCTTTTCTTTGTAGTTAAGTCATTTGGTATCACTTTCTGCCTTGCTTTATTGATTTGTAGCAAAAACCTTGACTATAAAAAAAGACCTGGGTATTATCTTCAGGGGCAGTAAAGAAGTAGAAGCCCAGCCAGAGAGATAATTATAAGAATGCAAAGGACAGGGAAAGAGGTTTCTCTAAGTGGAGACTAGTGGTGGCTTTTTCCTTAAACAGCATATTGAATGACAAGTTTTGAGTTGATGCCCATGATGAATGTCCCTCTTTTCTTTTTTTTTTTTTTTTTGAGACAGGGTCTCACTCTGTGTCGCCCAGGCTGGAGTGCAGTGGCGCAATCTCAGCTCACTGCAGCCTCAACCTCCCAGGACTCAAGCACTCCTCCCAGCACAGCCTCCGAGTAGCTGGGACTACATTCACATGCGGCCACATCCAGCTAATTTTGAATATTTTTTGTAGAGACAACATCTCACTTTGTTGACCAGGGTGGTCTTGAACCCCTGGGCTCAAACAATCCCACCCACCTTAGCCTTACTAAGTGCTGGAATTATAGGGGTGAGCCACCGCACCCAGTTCTTTTTTTTTTTTTTTTTTTTTTTAATTTAACATTTAATTTAGAACTTCCGCATTTATGGTCATAAATGAAGTGGGCTGGAGTGTTACTACCTCTCAATGCAATTGTCTGGTCTTGGAAACAATGTTGTACTAACTACATAAGTGAGTTCATCAGCTTCTCTGCTTATGATCCTGCAATGGTTATAGTCAATTTTGACTCTGAAAGTTACCCCTGACTTGAAGGGCTCTGGACCTAGACAGATCTCCTAGCTGGGGGAGATCTTTACCAGCTATTAGCCTAATAAAGTCTTCTCTTTCTTGTTGCAAATTTTCCATTTTCACTATTCCCAAAAATATATTTTATCTAGTTCTCCCAATTCATTAACATTTAGCTGTCTGGAAAAATATTTCACATTGCTTGTACCTGTTTTGATTACCTTCCTTTTTATTTATTCATTTATTTTTGTCATTTTTCTCTTTCTTCCCCTCACCCCCTTCATTAGTCTTGACTGAAGTTAACCGTGTTGTTAGTCATTCTTTCCTTTTGCAACTTCTTGGACATGGCCTGGGATGGTGCCAATGGAGATGTATTTCTTGGACCTGCTGAGAAAGGCTCCGTCCCGCTGATGGATGTTGGCTGTGCTGGCAGCTCCGCATAATGGAACACTCCACTTGATTTATAAAGGACCCAACTTGTCTTTTCTCTGTTCTCAGTGTTGTCTTTATCGTCCTTGCCTATTTTAATTAGCTCTTCAAGGCCTTCTTTGATCAGCTTCTCTCCTTATTCTCTGACTACCTCATTCAGGTGACTTTGGTACAGTTGGTAAAGAGGGAAGCCTGCCCTGTGAGCCCCCTCCCCTAGCCTGGGACTCGTGCCTCTGCTCCTCCATGAGCCTCTTTAGCTTAAGAGGAATCCTGTCTGCAGTGAGATAGACAGCTGGCCTGCTTATTCCTCTCAACTGCACCTTTCGCCAAGAAAAACACATCTTTAAAATTTTTAACCAGTCCTTACTTGAAAAGAAGGTTGGTTTAGCAGCCACACTGGTGCCTTCGCCATCTGCTGCTTCCTGGAAATGTTTGTGTAGTCTCCTGTCTTCTCCTGAGCCACCTTTTCAAAATTCTCTAAAATGTTATCACTCAAGGAGCAAGTATACTGCTGCCTGAGACCCTTTATCTTATTTCCATAGAGAACGGTGACTGAAGTTGTTTGCACTGTGGGGCAACTGTGGGATCGGACGGGCTCCTTTTTAATCTATAATGATAGTACAAACTGATGGTACACACCGTCAGTTTCTCAGGCTTCTCTGCTTTCTTTTACTTCCAGCACAAGCCCAGTGGTCAGCTCTCTTTTTGGAGGCCTCCTCTCTCTCTCTTTCTCTCTCTCACACGTGTGCACGCACACACACATGCACACACACAAACACACACACACTCACCAAAGTTCTATCATATTTCATAAAAGTCAGTTCAAAAGAAAGGACAGATGGACATGGTGGCTCACACCTGTAATCCCAGCACTTAGGGAGGCTGAAATGGGCGGATCACCTGAGGCCAGGAGTCCAAGGCCAGCCTGGCCAACATGTTGAAATCCCGTCTCTACTAAAAAGATACACAAAATTAGTCAGGTGTGGTGGCAGGCACCTGTAATCCCAGCTACTTGGGAGGCCGAGGCACAAGAAGCTCTTGAACCTGGGAGGCGGAAGTTGCAGTGAGCCGAGATCACACCATTGCACTCCAGCCTGGGTGACAAAGCGAAACTCCATCTCAAAAAAAAAATCAAAAAAGAACAAGGAGCAGTCAACAACTCTGCTCGGCGAGACGGATGCTGGGCACTGGCCAGCCTGGCTCCCCATTGGAGGACTTCCTCCATGCACTGCTCTCATCGTGGGTAAGGTTCAAATGCACGTCTCAGCAAAGTGACAGATTTCTGTACAGCAGGAGCCTTTGGAGCTGCTCAAGAACACTCAAAAGTGAGACTGTTAAATCCACTCGTACCAAGAAGCCACTCCATTCCTAACTGCATTGAGGAGGAAATGGAAGCCAGGACAGGCGGAGTGTGCCACGTCTGGTACAGAATGTCCCGGGTATAGTCACCCAGGGCAGAGCCCAAGAGGTGAAGGGACTCCCTTAGCTCACAAGTAGGAAGACAATGACCCAGAGATGGTACATGACTGTTCCAGGGACCCAGGGAGTTGGTGGCAGTGAGGAAGAGAACCAAGGCCTTGACTCCTAGATCAACTCTCTCCAACAGCCAAAAACTCAAGGGCCCACAAAGCTCTATACAGCTCTTTAAGAGAAAAACCCAGTGAAAGCAGGGGCTCTAGCAGATATCTGCACACCCACCTCCACAGCAGCACCACTCACAACAGCCAAAGCTGGAGGGAATCCAAGTGTCCATGGAGGGATAGACAGAGAAGCAAAATGTGGGGCATACCTATGATGGAATATTATTCAGCCTTCAAGAGGAAGGAAATTCTGATTAATGCTACCACATGGAAGACATTATGCTAAGTGAAATACACCAGATACAGAAGGACATATAAAGTATTATTTCACTTATATGAGTTACTTGGAATTGTCCAACTCATAGAGACAGAAAGTAGAATGATGGTTGTCAGGACCTAGGAGGAGCAAGGAATCAGGAATTAGTGTTTAATGGGCACAGAGTTTCAGTGTGCAAAGAAACATTTGTGGAAATGGATAGTGGTGATGGTTGTGCAATGGTATGACTTAATCAATGCCACTGAAATGTCCAGTTAGAAATGGTTAACGTGGTAAATCTTGGCCAGGCAAGTGGCTCACGTCTGTAATCCTAGCACTTTGGGAGGCTGAGGCAGGCAGATCAAAAGGTCAGGAGTTTGAGACTAGCCTGGCCAATACGGTGAAACCCCATCTCTACAAAAAATACAAATAGTAGCCAGGCGTGGTGGTGGGCACCTGTAGTCCCAGCAATTTGGGAGGCTGAGGCAGGAGAATCACTTGAACCTGGAAGGTGGGGGTTGCAGTGAGCCAAGATTGAGATTGCACTATTGCACTCCAGCCTGGGCAACAGAGCAAGACTCTCTCTCTATCTCAAAAAAAAAAAAAAAAAAGTAAATCTTACATTTATTTTAACACACACACAAAATTCATTTCTTTCTCTCTGCTTAAATTCTTAATTCTTACCCCTTTCCCCAACTTTTTTTTTAAACAAAATATTTTTAAGAGTTGAGGTCTTGCTATGTTGCCCAGGCGAGTCCAGTGGCTATTCACAGGTGAGATCACAGTGGACTGTAGCCTCGAACTCCAGCTCAAGTAATCCTCCCACCTTAGCCTCCTGAGTAGCTGGGACCACAGGCACCATGACACCTGATATCTTCCTCCTACTTTGCCTGACTAAATCCTGTAGGCCTCAGGCAAGACTCCTCTGAAAGGATGACCTGTTCTCTCCCTAGCACTTGGACTCTACCTGCGTGAAGCCCCACTACTGTCCTATTATCACTGATCTGTTTATAAGCCTACCTACATTGTGAATTCTTTTTTTTTTTTTTTTTTTTTTCCTTTTTGAGACAGAATTTTCACTCTGTCGACAGGCTGGAGTTCAGTGGCGCAATCTTGGCTCACTGCAACCTCTGCCTCCCAGGTTCAAGTGATTCTCCTGCCTCAGCCTCCCAAGTAGCTGGGACTACAGGTGCGTGCCACCACGTCTGGCTAATTTTTGTATCTTTAGTAGAGACGGGATTTCACCATGTTGGCCAGGATGGTCTCGATCTCTTGACTTCATAATCTGCCCGCCTCAGACTCCCAAAGTGCTAAGATTACAGGTGTGAGCTACCGCGCCTGGCCTGTATTGTGACTCTTAAGGTCAAAGACTTGGAGGACCAAGCTCAGTGCCGCAGAGCCTGGCTCAGTCACATTTGACAAAGGCTGGAAAGAACCTGAGCCTCCGATCCTCTCTGGGGGGCATATGAACAGTCAGCAGGCTTGGTACTGCCTTCCTTTTTGCTCACTTGGAAAGTCAGCTCTGAGGAAGAAGCTCCTCATGTGCTTGAAAGCTCAAAAGTTGCTCTAAGACATAAGTAGGAACATGCAGTTTCAGCACAGAAACAAAATCTGTTATCATTATACCCAAATAACCATTTAAAAGCAAATGGGGGCTGGGCGCGGTGGCTCAAGCCTGTAATCCCAGCACTTTGGGAAGCCGAAGCGGGTGGATCACGAGGTCAACAGATCGAGACCATCCTGGTCAACATGGTGAAACCCCGTCTACTAAAAATACAAAAAATTAGCTGGGCATGGTGGTGCGTGCCTGTAATCCCAGCTACTCAGGAGGCTGAGGCAGGAGAATTGCCTGAACTCAGGAGGCAGAGAGGTTGCGGTGAGCCGAGATTGCGCCATTGCACTCCAGCCTGGGTAACAAGAGTGAAACTCTGTCTCAAAAAAAAAATAAAGCAAATGCGTAAAATAGGAAAAGAAAGAGCCCTCTGTGACTCTGGAGCACTTGGAGGCTTACAAAGGAATGCACTGGCGTGAGTGAGACATGAAGCATAACTTTAATTCCTGACTTCCAGCTCCTGGGTGACAAGGTCACCAAATGCCAAATGATCAGTAATTCTAACAAAAACACACAGGTGTGAAATCTATCCCAGCTTTCACTTCCTGCCTAGCCCTCGAAGAGCTTCATTGCCATCTCCCCCATCATTTGCTAAGCACTAGTTGTGGAAATGCATTACTTTTCCCATTTGAACCAGGGGCTTCCTGAGTGACCCCTCTGGTGTTGAGACCTAGGGCACAGGGCCCCCAGATATTAGCACTGAGGTTGGAACTGTGTCTTCCCTCCCCTCCTCTCTCACTGCACCCAACCACCCAAGGCCACACAGTCCACAGAGTGGGATCTTGCTTTGGTCTGACTCTGGAGCCACACCAGTTTCCTTCTTGGTACTCCACACTTGACGCTGATCTCCTACCCAGGGAAGGGAGCTTTCTAGACTGTCTGGTTCTGGCCAGCCCTTGGCCTTGTGACTAGAACCTTGACTGACGCCCCAGACAACTAGGACTGATATTCCAGAAGGATTGTCCACTGTGTACTGACCATTGCCTGGATTTCTGACCCTGTGTCCAACCTGCCAGATTTAGAGCTTAACTATTAGGCCCCAGCGGACACTACATACAGCATCCACCAGCTGTACCTCCAGAGCTCCAGAGCCGGCCTCCACATGAATAGCCTCTATGCTTGGAGGGACAGTCTCTCAAATTCTAGCCATCCTTGCCTTCAGCTTTGGAAATGTGTGCAAAAGGCCTCATACTCCAAGGCTTTAGATGTCATGTCACTTGCTCCACAGTTAATTGGTGGATTGGTCTCTTGTTGCATCAAGCAATCCTTTCATCTGAGCAACAGAAATCAATCCCAGCGCATATCACTAAGCGGTAAATGGGATAAAACCAAGCTCCCAGTATTCCAGGGCTGAGAGTCAGACCCCGGATATTAACAAGCCTACTGCAGTGTGCTTATCGTGGGGGGTACTAAGTGCTCTGACACCACCTTCAAACAGACAATAACCCCTGAGGCACAAGAGTCTTTCTCATACATTACATTTGTCTCTCAAAAATGTTAGTAAAAACATAAACATTTTTGAAAAACCCTCTTGAAATGGCTAAAATCTGCCCATGAAAAATACTCTAATGTTACTCTTGGAACTTGCCATTCAAGAAGACTTAAGAAGTATCATCACCTGCACTACTAAATGGTGTACTCGCTCATAAAAAGCATTTTAAAAAACAGATTTTTCCCAAAGAAGAAAGAGTCTTGTGGTCTGAGGAATGTCTCCGTCTCACACGCAGACCCGAGTAACAAACAGCAGGACCTGCCACAGGCGGAGGGGTGCCAACGACAGCAGAACTCGATACAACGTGTCGGCCGCACGGCTTTGCCAACGGCTGTCACAACCTCTGTGTTATTTAAACAGATTTTGGTATTTAAAGCAGATCAGGTTTGTTTTTCAAACATTCATCTCAATCCTAAGACAAATTTTCTGTTTAAGGGGAAAATGGGGGGTCTGGAGGGTTGGAAGTAGGAACCTGCCAGATAGGTATTTGGGAGAGAATTAGAGATTTAGGTTTATTGTTTTCTTGGTTTTAAAATGCATATGACTCTTTAAAAAAAAGTGATATATACAACGCTCTCCCTTGCCTGCTTCTTCAGCCCAGTTGCAGCCACATACGTCCCTTTTAAAAGGGTTGCAATTTTTCAAACAGTTTCCTACCATCATCTTGCCTTTGCTCAGCAAGTTCTGTCTGCCTAGAAAAATTTCATAGGCCCGCCTACATAATTCCTACTCACCGTTTGAAAATCCATCTTGAGAAAACTTTTACTGAACCTGGCCCCCATCTACACACTCAACTGGATCAAGCACTTCCTCTCAGAGGTCCCACAACCCCTGGCCATGGCACATGCCACACTGTACTGCAATGTGTGGTCTTCTCCCAGTCAGGGCGTGCGCTATTCATCTTTGAACATTCAGGTGCTAGCAATAGAGACCTGCATGTGATAAGGACCTGATAAAAGTTTCTGCACAAGATAATCAGAGCTGGTAATATAAGCCCTAAGGTTATATATATATCCAGAATTGTGATATATATATCACAACTCTGTTTTGTTTTTTAATCCTTTTTCATGTGTTTGGGAAAACTGGAACAAAGGACTTGAGAACCACTGGGACACGCTCTCTGCCCTTTATCCTTGACCAATTCCCTCCATGGAGTTAGAAAGAACTTCATAGAGAGGATCTAAGACTAGATCTCTCTGGATTCTAGTCCCAAAATGCCAGGGAAGATTCTGATTGGCTCCTGGACTAACTGACTGTGGCGTGGGAGGCAGTCATATAAGAATATGGAAGCTCACTCTGGAACGTCATGGTTGGAAGAAGGAAGGAACATTTTACTGGAGGAAGGTATGGAAAGTGCTGGCAAGCAGAACAACAGATAGCTTTCTTCTATCTGCCATGCAAAGTGTAGTCACAGACAAGCAGCATCAGCAACGAACCTGGGAGCTTGCACGAACTGCAGAATCTCAGGTTCCACCCCGATCTACTAAACAGCATCTGCACTGGCACAAATACCCAGGTGATATGCATACCCATTAAAATGTGGGAGTTCTGTTCTAGACCCTCCCACTGCAGCCACAGGGCTCCAGAATGACTTTCTCCAGCTGGTGTACAAATATGCTGCACTGCCACCTCTCCGGGGACAGGTGGACTCCAGCTCTCCCACAGGCCACTGAGTTGGAGGTGTATGTCAGACAGTCTTGGAATCTATCTGTGCTGTAGACTCACATATGAATGTTACCAACCTGGTCTTTCTCCTAGGTTAAAGAGTAAATCTAACATAAAGTTTACCACCCAAGAGCAGGCTCTTTCTCTCCTAGAACCCACAGAACTATTCCAAGTCCACTAGATAGAAATCACAGCCTACGCTCATAACTCTATTTGGCATTTTAAAAAATTCCAATTAACCCTATTACCCATCCTATGATTTATTACCACGATCAGTGTAATTATTAATGAGGGACAACTCATGTTAGACTCCAGGCATGGCTATTAACAGTATTTAACATTGCCTCATCAAAATATATGAACCAGTAATTTTGCCAGATATCAGAACAACATTTATTATAAGCACAAGGGGATTGAGAACATAGATGAGGAACAAAAAGAGATTAGGTTCATGGGAAGGAAGGATAAATTTTAAACCTAGAGAAGGTTAAAAACCTTAGGTGACTTTTAACCAACTCCTACACCTCATAGATGCACCAACAAGAGAATGAAACTAGAAACTGTGACATGAGTATCTAGTTCATGGAAGATAAGGGAAAAAAGTAACCAAAACGTGACGAGAGCATAAAATGTCCCAGTCACCAGGCTTTGCAGTGTCATAGCGATAATCCCCACATCCCTGCACAGGAGGGTGCTCGGCCCCATTTTACAGATGAAGAAACCGAAGCTCACAGAGGATAAATACCTGGCTCAAAGCACACAGTTTAAACAAAGGAAGAGTTGGGACTAAAACCCAGGTCTCCTGAGTCCTGTGCCAATCTCGTTTCTAACTCCAAGCTAACCCTTATGATTGGCTTTGCTTAATCCTGGCTCAGTAGTTTTCAGCCCTGATGGCACATCTAGAATCCTGTGAGAAGTTAAACACACACACACACCACGAATATTCTGTTCCATGTCAATTAAATAAACATTTCCTAGACTGAAGCCCAGAATTTAGCATTTTTAAAAAGATCCCCTTGTAATTCTCAGATGAAGATAGGACTGAATCCCTGATTATTGCTGTATTACTAGTTTGAGTAAAAGTATCCACAAAACTGCCAAACATCACAAAACCACTTCACAGCATCAATGAAACAGGCCAGAACCTGGTGACACAAGATACCACGATCACTATCTCCATCATCCCGTCATCCCGCATTTACTGCACCATTTTACATCCCCACCAGCAGTGTTTGAGGGTTCCATTTTTTGTGTGCAAATATGAAATATTTAAGCCTTCAGTGATATATACTATGCATACAGAAATACATGCAAAAAGTACTCATGTGACTCAAGCCTGTAAGCCCAGCACTTTGGGAGGCCCAAGTGGGTGGATCACGAGGTTAGCGGTTCAAGACCAGCTTGGCCAACATAGTGAAACCCCGTCTCTACCAAAAATACAAAAAATTAGGGGGGTGTGGTGGTGGGAACCTGTAATCCCAGCTACCTGGGAGGCTGAACCCAGGAGGTGGAGGTTGCAGTGAGCCGAGATCACACCACTGCACTCCAGCCTAGGCAACAGAGTGAGACTTCATCTCAAAAAAAAAAGCACTCATGTAAATCTTAATGTATGATTACAGAATGAATACATGTATATAACCAAGGAATAGCATCAGTGTCACTTGTGCCCTCATACAACTACTTTTTATTCCCTCCCCTCCAAAGATCTGAAGATCTACCATTGTAGATTAGGTACACTTTGTCTTTTTATGTTTCTTTTTTTTTTTTTTCAGACAGTCTCGCTTTGTCACCCAGGCTGGAGTGCAGTGGCCAATCTCTGCTCACTGCAATCTCTGCCTCCTGGGTTCAAGTGATTCTACTGCCTCAGCCTCCTGAGTAGCTGGGATTACAAACTTACACCACCACACCTGGCTAATTTTTGTATTTTTAGTGGAGTCCAGGTTTCGCCAGGCTGGTCTCAGGTGACCCACCTGCTTCGGCCTCCCAAAGTACTGGGATTACAGGTGTGAGCCACCGCCCAGCCATATGTCATTTATCATAGAAAATTTTAAACATATACAAAGAAGGTTCCAGTTTCTTCACATCCTGACCATCTTTCTTTTCAATTGTCGCCATCTTCGTGGGTGTGACGGGACACTTTACTGTGGTTTTGTTTGTATTTCCCTGGTGACTAATGACACTGAGCATCTTTTCCAGGGGCTTATTGGCCAGTTGTTCATCTGCTTTGCAGAGCTGTCTAGATCCCTCGCCCGTTTTAAAAATTGGGTTTTTAAAAATGACTGAGGTGTAAGAGTTCTTTCTGTGTTGTGGAGATGTCCCACATCATCTATGTGATTTGTTTGTGGGTTGTCGTTTCCCTTCCTTGATGCTGTACTTTGCAGCTCAGCAGTTTTTAATTTTGATGAACTCCACTTTCTATTTTCTTTTGTCGCTTGTGCTTTTGGTGTGTGCCATGGTCATATTTTATGTAGCAAGGAATTCTAAGTCACTATTTCATTCAGCATCTTCATTAACACTATACATGTATCATACCGATATACCACAGCTTCCTTTTCATAGAACCTTTCATTTATTCCATCTTCAAACACTTATATTTTACTTTACAACATGATCTATCCAAATTAAGTACTATCGCCCTTGATTTATAATGAGCTTCCAATGTGATCCTAGGAAGAAGCCAGTATCATGCTATGTGATATGAATCCATCTATGTGATATGATATGTGATTCGGCAGAAATTTGAGAATTAGATATAATAAGGATGTATTAATATATTTAATAAAAGAGTCTAGAAGCTTTATGTAGTAATTCTTCAAATTCTTCATAGTAATTTTTTTTTTTTGAGACAAGAGTCTTGCTGTGTCACCCAAGCTGGAGTACTGTAGCACAATCTTGGCTTATTGCAAACTCTGCATCCCGGGTTCAAGCAATTCTCCTGCCTCAGTCTCCCAAGCAGCTGGGATCACAGGTGAACACCAACACACCTGGCTTATGTTTATATTTTTAGTAGAGACTGGGTTTCATCATGTTGACCAGGCTGGTCCTGAACTCCTTACCTCAAGTGATCCACCCACCTCGGCCTCCCAAAGTGCTGGGATTACAGGTGTGAAGCACCGCACCTAGACTTCGTGTAATTTTGAAGAGGTTGGTGACCAGTTATTTAGAGTAAGAAGGAAATGTAGTGTAGAGATGACCTAATCTCTCCCCTTAATTTATGTCAGCTCTTTCTCTCCCTCCCTTCCTTTCTTTCTCTTTCCTTCCTTCCTTCCCTCCTCCCTCTTCCCTCCCTCCCTTTTTCTTTCTTTCACTCTCTTTCTCTCTGCTCTGTCAGCTCCTTCCTTCCTTCCTTCTTTTCTTACTTCCTTCCTTCTTCTCCCCCCCACCCCCTTTCTTTTCTTTCATTTTGAAATGGAGTCTCCTGCTCTGTTACCCAGACTGGAGTCCAATGGCATGATCTCAGCTCACTGCAACCTCCACCTCCCAGGTTCAAGCAATTCTTCTGCCTTTGTCTCCTGAGTAGCAGGGACTACAGGCACATGCCACCATGCCTATCTAAATTTTGTATTTTATATTTCTGGATTGTAGATGAGGTTTCACCATGCTGACCAGGCTGGTCTCAAACTCCTGACCTCAGGCAATCCACCCACCTGAGGGTTGCCGGAGGTGGGCGGCCTCCCAAAAGTGCTGGGATTACAGGCGTGAGCCACTGAGCCTGGTCTATTTCAGCACTTTAAAAATGTCATTCCTGCAGTCAAGGGTCATATGCATTAAATAAGTAAAGATGTCATTTCATTGTCTATGGGTACTCATTGTTTCAGGTAAGAAGTCAGCCACTGGCTTTATGGTTGCTTCTTCAATTTAAAGTCATGTGCTTTTTCTCTAGTTGATTTTAAGATTTTTAAATTTATTGTTTGTTTTCGAAGATAAATTTGATAGTTTGAGTAGATATACCTAAGTATGGTTTTATTTGTATTATGGCAATCAATCATTTTGGAAAATTCTTAGCTCACATCCTTTCAAATACCGCTTCTGCCCAGTCTCTCTCCCCTGTTCTTCTAGAATTATAATTACAAATATTAGATCTTAGGAACATTTCCCCTGTGTTCCTCACGCTCTGTTCTGCTCTTTGCAGCATTTTTTCCTCTTTGTGTTTCACTTTGAGTGTTTTCTACTGACCTTGAGTTCACCAATCCTGCTACATTGTACCCAGTGTACTCTTAGACCATCCAGTACACTATTAATTCCAGATGAATTTTTCAATTCTATAATACCCATTTGATTTTTTTAAAAAACAGATTCTAATCTTGCACTGATTTTCTCATTATTTTATCCATCTTTTCCTCATTTTCTTTAACATACCATCCAGTTATGTTTAAGTTATTGCTAACTTTAATATCTGCACCATCTGCAGTTCTCTTCCTATTATTTCTCCCCACTTGATTATCAGTTATGCCTTTCTGCTTATTTATATGCCTACATCTTTGATTACATGCTTGATATTGTGTAGAAAATGTAGAAGCTCCAGAGGAGAGCTTCATTCAAGAAGTGTTCTCCTTTCCCTCTAATAGGGTGATGAGCTCAGTCAAACCAGGGACTGAGTGACTCAGAAAGGCTGCAGCTATAGTAACTTAGTCCACCTCGATTTTAGCTAGTCCCTGAGCGGTAACTCTCCCAGACTCATGCTTAAGAGCTTGGTGGATCTCTGTCTCCTCATCCATAAAAGGTCTGCCTTTCTTAGCTTTTTTTTTTTTAAGACGGAGTTTCGCTCTTGTTACCCAGGCTGGAGTGCAATGGCAAAATCTTGGCTCACTGCAACCTCCACCTCCTGGGTTCAGTCAATTCTCCTGCCTCAGCCTCCTGAGTAGCTGAGATTACAGGCACATGCCACTATGCCCAGCTAATTTTTTGTATTTTTAGTAGAGACGGGGTTTCCCCATGTTGACCAGGATGGTCTCCATCTCTTGACCTCATGATTCACCCACCTCGGCCTCCCAAAGTGCTGGGATTACAGGCGTGAGCCACCGCGCCCGGCCCGCTTTCTTAGCATTTTAGCCTCCCATCTGTGCAGGTTCAACATGTGGCAACTGTCTTGAGGGGAAGACTTGTGCTTTTGCTGCAGTCTCTTTCTTCTAGCCAGATTTTGTCTCCTAAATACCCCTAGACTACGAGAGTGCCCAAACCTGCAGCCTCCTGCACCACCCCAGAACTCAGCAAATGCCTCAGGGGAAAAACTAGACTTCCTTCGGGGCTACTCTAGTTTCCAGTCCATCAAACCAGTTCAATATGACTGCCTACACTCTGCTACTTTCTCTTTCCCTAATATTTCGTCTTTTTGGACCAAGCCAGATCCTTAGCCCACACCCAGAATCAACAACCATTGTCCTCCTTCCCTGCCCTTACCATGAAGAACACAGCTTATTTAGTATACCTAGGAAGGATTCTTCTCTCTTTGGAAATTTGCTTAACAGCTCTCCAACTTTCTTTAAAATATGATTTTTGCAATTTATTTGTTTTTCTCCTAGTTGTTTCCGTTGAGATACTGGCCTGTCACGAGGTACAACATTCTACTCTGAGCTAGGTTTCCCTTTCTCATATACATGCAAAAACAGACCCAGAGAGGTGGTCTATGGTCTATGCTACTTGTTTTCAAACCAGGATAGGCTAGCCACTGTTTTCCTAGAGCCACTGGATGCCATCATGACATAAAGTGAGTCTTTTTTTTTTTTTGAGACTGAGTTTCACTCTTGTTGCCCAGGCTGGAGTGCAATGGTAAAATCTTGGCTCACTGCAACTTCCACCTCCCGGGTTCAAGTGATTCTCCTGCCTCAGCTTCCCAAGTAGCTGGGATGATAGGCATGTGCCATCACACCAGGCTAATTTTTGTATTTTTAGTAGAGATGGGATTTCTCCATGTTGGTCAGGCTGGTCTCAAACTCCTGACCTCAGGGTATCTGCTTGCCTGGGATTACAGGTGTGAGCCACCACACCTGGACTTTTTTGTTTTGTTTTGAGACAGGCTCTTGCTCTGTCACCTAGGCTGGAGTACAGTGATGCAATCGCGGCTCACTGCAGCCTCTGCCTCCCAGGCTCAACTGATTCTCCGTCTCAGCCTCCTGAGTTGCTGGGACTACAGGCATGTGTCACCACAGCTGGCTAGTTTTTGTATTTTTTGTAGAGATGGGTTTCACCACGTTGGCCAGGCTGGTCTCGAACTCCTGGGCTCAAACAATCCAGCTACCTTGGCCTCCCAAAGTGCTGGAATTACAGGTGTGAGCCAGCTGGCTTTTTTTTTTTTTTTTGAGATGGAGTTTCGCTCTTGTTACCCAGGCTGGAGTGCAATGGTGCGATCTCGGCTCACCGCAACCTCTGCCTCCTGGGTTCAGGCAATTCTCCTGCCTCAGCCTCCTGAGTAGCTGGGATTACAGGCACGCACCATCATGCCCAGCTAATTGTTCGTATTTTTAGTAGAGACGGGGTTTCACCATGTTGACCAGGATGGTCTCGATCTCTTGACCTTGTGATCCACTCACCCCAGCCTCCCAAAGTGCTGGGATTACAGGCTTGAACCACCACGCCCAGCCTCCAGCTGGCTTTTTTATTTGTTCTGAACAACTTCCCATTCAGCAACAATCTTATTAACTCATCCTGACAATTTTAATTAGCTTAAAAAAATCATAGTCTAGGTTTTTACATACGCCAGCCTGGGGCAACAGAACTTGGGCACAGTTTTTCTCTTCAGATACAGAGTTTCAGATACAGTGTAACTGATGGTAATGATTATGGCAGGCTGGAGGCGAGAGGAATATTCAGTTCCCTCCCCTCAGGATTCCTTCTCTGCCCACAGAGGAGGAAACTCTTCTGCCTTCTCTTCTGTCCTTTAATTCTCTTCCAAGTTCATTCCAAGGAGAATAATTGTTTATCTGATTGTACATTTATTTTACACTAGTCAGTAGGACTCTAATGCTTAAAGGCAGGAACCAGACTCCACACAGTCTCTCCTTTTGAATCCATGCTATAACGTTCTCTTGACTGTCTCCACGTGCTGTGGTTTAGGGAAGAGAAGGATGGAAAGGAAGCCATGCCTTGCATAGGGAGCAGAAAGTCTCTGCTTCCCAGCCAGGGTTCAGTGTTTTTTGTTTAACTCAGCTTTCTTTTTCACTGACTATTCCTTGTCCATATGCTCTCTTGACTTATATCCCAAGAAGGGAGGTGGAGTGGGTAGTAGAATTCAAGTACCAAAACTCTGAACTGTTTAACAAAGGCGAGGGCCTTTTGGACTTGCAATCTTCCTGGCACAGTTGTGCTAAAGGTGTTGGCTTTTCCCTGGGTTGGATGTCTGACTTTTCTCTGGTACTTACATTTCTCAGAAGGCCATATTCATATCATGTCTGCTGAAGTTTGCTTCACAGAACCTTTGGAGGACTTCTTCCTCCATCTTTCTCTTTGGGCATTCCGCTTCGGCTTGCCCTCAAATACTTGATTGTGTTGTTTCTTTGTTTTATTTGCTATTATAATTTTCTTTAAATAGATGGGCTAGCTGGGCATGGTGGCTCATGCCTGTAATCCCAGCACTTTGGGAGGCCAAGGTGGGCAGATCACCTGAGGTTGGGATTTCGAGACCAGCCTGACCAACATGGAGAAACCCTATCTGTACTAAAAATCAAAATAAGCTGGGCGTGGCGGTGCACACCTGTAATCTCAGCTATTTGGGAATCTGAGGCAGGAGAATCACTTGAACCAGGTAGGCAGAGGTTGCAGTGAGTGGAGAGCGCGCCATTGCACTACAGCCTGGGTAACAAGAGTGAAACTCCGGCTCCAAAAACGAAAAGAAGATGGGCTATAAATTTGCCAAGTATTTTCTTTTCCAAGCAGTAATAAAAGGTGAAGTAATGTCGACATACTTAGAACGCCCAATTGTAGAAGACAAATAGAGAATTTGAGACGTCCCTAATTTTCCTTCAAACTCAAATCAGTGATAACCTGGTATGGAGTCTCTTAATTCCCCATTCTAGTACTTTTCACTTCTTGGTTTCATTTAACTTGGCAAACATACTCATCCACTGTCAGACATACTGTTAGAATGATGGATTTGTGCCACTTACTTTTCAAACTGTTGTCTTGCTAGCTAGAAAGTTCTACTAGTCTCCCAAGTGAAGCAGAACCAGATCTGTGCTTGTGGAAAGGAAGGGCATGTGGTTAAGATGTTTTTATTTTCTAAGTTGTTTTGATTTACTCAAAGCATAGATCTAATCTCTGCAGACTATTTTTAGAAAGTGCATGAATTTAAGCTCAAAGGAGCTGTCAATAAAAGCACCATAATTATGCTTACTCCAAGGCTGTGAGGACTTGTCTATCTCCTTTTCATATAACAATAACTTCAACTTACACTACAGTTACATTTAGCAATAATGGAGGTGAAAGAATAGATCTGCCAAAAGAGATATATCCAGACCCCAGAACCCGACACTTTCTTGCAACATTCAAAGGGAGGAGATGTGGTGCTCATTAGGTAAAACCCTGTTGCCTGCTTTTCACCTGCCTCCTTCCTTTAGCCCAAAATTCCTGAAGAACATCAGCTGGAGGAAGTGAGCCCTCTACATGACATCAAGGACTGGACCCTGGCTCCAAGTCTCGTCACACTCAGTTTCACATGACCAGAGAGTGAGAACTTAGAAATGTACAAACTTGCACAATAGGTTTACACAAACCATGAAGACCTTCCAGCTCTGCCACACAACCTGTTCGCCATGGACTGAACTGTCCATAATTCATATGTTGAAGCCCAACCCCCAATGTGGTAGTATTTGGAGATGGGGCCTTTGGGAGACGATTTAGTTTAGATGAGGTCATGAGTGTGGGGCCCTCACCATGAGATTCATGCCCTTATTAAAAGAGACCAGAGGCCAGGCGCAGTGGCTCATGCCTGTAATCCCAGCACTTTGGAAAGCTGAGGCAGGTGTATCACCTGAGGTCAGGAGTTCGAGACCAGCCTGGCCAACATGGTCATTCCTTATCTTTATTAAACTACAAAAATTAGCCAGCCATGGTTGCACAGGCTGTAGTCCCAGCTACTTGGGAGGCTGAGGCAGGAGAATCAGTTGAACCCAGGAGGCGGACATTGCAGTCAGCTGAGATGGCACCACTGCATTCCAGTTTGGTGGACAGAGTGAGACTCTGTCTCAAGAAAAAGAAAAGAAAAGAAAGGAAAGAGAGAAAGAAAGAAAGGAAAGAAAGAGAAAGAAAGAAAGAAAAGAAAGAAGGAAACCAGAAAACACATATAAATAAAAAGAGACCACAGCTTGTTCTCCTCCCAGCTCTCCCAGGTGCACAAAGAAGAGTTCATGTGAGTGCACAGGGAGAAGGCAGCCATCTGAAACCCAGGAGGGAGCTCTCACATGACACCCACCCTGCTGGCTCCCTGCTCTTGGCTGATTCTTGGACATCGCAGCCTCCAGAACTGTGAGAAAGTAAATTTCTATTGTGTAAGCCACCGAGTCTGTGCTATTTTGTCATGACAATCAAGCTAAGACACGCTTCCTTGCTCTCTTGGAGAGTTTAAAAAAATGAAAGTTTATTTTAAAAGGTTGAATGTTTCCGAAGATGCTTTCATTGAATTAGAAGTGAAAAAGGAAAAGGGCTTTGGGTTTTTGCTGGGATGAAGTTGAGCCCAAAGTATGTTCACTGAGCACCACACAGGGCACTAGAGAGGTGACATGAAAAGCAAAATCTGCCCTCGCAACACCCTGCACTAGGTTAGCTAAAGCAAAGAATGCCAATATTATCATAGGGTAAGTGCTAAGACATGGACAGACTCTGAATGTTATGGGAACAAACCTCAAATTAGGGCAGAGTCCTGTGCTAAGCATGAAGGGCAAACAGAAATTACCAGGGGAGCAAGGGTGGGAAGGGTGTTCTACAGAGAAGGAACAGCATGAACGAGCCCAGCACACTCCACCACTGAAGGTTAACTGGAATGCCAAGTGTGCGGTGGATTAAAGGCCACTGTCGAAGCCAAAGGAAAACTGAAGATAGTGAAAAAAATCAATAGTTTAAAACCCCTTTTTCATAGCAAGGTATTTTAAAAGTTCCATGGAGAATCCTATTCATTTAAAGATGAGGTGAAGCTGGTCCCAGGAAGATTAGGCATGCAGTTTTATCAGGAGACAAGAGGCAGTCCTCCATATGGATGCCAAGAGAGCTTCTCACAACCCCGTGAGTTGGCAGGGAGGGTCCTGGGTGCTCCCTGGCTGGGTCACAAACTGGCTGAATAACCTCAGGCAGACCCATCCCCCTCCTGGATTTCAGGTTCCTCTATAAAATAAAGGGACCATCTAGAAAGTATTTCTCAGGGACTAAATTTTATTCTTTCCCTTATTATCTTTCTTCGAAGGGGAAGGGGATTTTATTCATTTCCTGACTTGTTCCAGTGAGAATTTTCAAGAAATTTAAAAAGATGGATGAATTCAGACTCAGAATATCAATTAGAAGTAGGTAAGAAACATGAAGGAAAGGGGAAATCAAGGAGAAGAAGGCAGAGGAAGGCCAGGACAAAATCCATGCCAGGGCAGCCACCATGCATGGGCGGGGCTCAGAGTGTGGCCACATGATTCCTGGCAGCCAAAGTGAAGAAGGTGGGTGAGTTGCACACTGAGTGTCCCTAAGATTCTGGCAAACCAATGCTTCGGAGAAGCCATTCAATGTTAATCTATCTTCTAAGTTTAAAATGAAAATGTTGTTACAGACATTCAAGCATATGTTCCAAAGAAAGCAGACACCTTTAACTTAATAAATCTGTCAGCTGCCACATCAGGGCCCAATGTAAAGATCCAGAGTAAAGAAATGTGTTATCTTGTCCCCTCCAATGTATAAGGTACCCTTCTTTATGAAAGCTAAAAATATAGAAATCTGAATTGTGTGGCCAGGCACGGTGGCTCATGCTAGTAATCCCAGCACTTTGGGAGGCTGAGGCAGGTGGATCACTTGAGTTCAAGATCAGCCTGGCCAACATGGTGAAACTCTGTCTCTACTAAAAATACAAAAATTAGCTGGGCATGCTGGTATGTGCCTGTAATCCCAGCTACTTGGGAGGTTGAGGCAGGAGAATCGCTTGAGCCCAGGAGGCAGAGGTTGCAGTCAACCAAGATCACATCACTGCACTCCAGCCTGGGTGACAGAGAGGGAGGGAGGGAGGGAGGAAGGGAGGAAGGAAGGAAGGAAGGAAGGAAGGAAGGAAGGAAGGAAGGAAGGAAGGAAGGAAGGAATCTGAACTGTGGCCTTTCCATGGTCCCACACACACAAAGGAATGTCAGCTGCTGACGTGCCACCCCCCCTCCAAGTCTGGGTGCAGCCAGGAGCCCACTAAGTGTCCTCGATTGAGAAGAAAATAATGCCCGTCAGTGGCTACTTTTCATAAAGAACTCTTAAAGTCTGTGGACAAGGCACATGTACATTTTCTGAAGGCAAGGAGTATGCATTTCAGAATCCCCTTGCAGTACCCTTAGTGACTCGGTTTATTCATCTCTACAGCAAAATGTGATCTGCGGATTGTGTGGCCATCTCCCAAATGCTGGGAGACAGCAATACGCCTGGTGGCCCTGCCATGTTTCCGGTGGTCACTGACTGAGCATGTGCTCAGGACAAAGCATCTAGCGCCTGCTCTGTGATACAGCAGGACGCAGGCTGCGGGATCCCTGTCACTGTCAACGGCGCTCATGACTGCTTTTCAGACAGACCAGAACCAAGCAAAGCCCACGTGCAGGGAGCAGCCCTCTTTCCGAGTGGACTCAGAGGCCACGTCCTTCAACTCAGGAGGTTGCCGTACCATGGACACTGCTCTCTCCCCCAAGTAGACCCACCTCATTGCCACTCCTATCATCTTCCCTTCCAATACAGTTTCTAGCGACCAATCAACTCTGATTCAGTAAGAGTTACACCTTTGTAACTGGTTCTTGTAACCAGGTTTAAACTCTGTAAAACAAAGATGTAACTAACCATTTTCAATGGTATTTTGGGGGTAGCATATTGAAGGTTATGTTATTTTTCCAATTTCACTTTTATAGGTGAGACAGTCATGATTCTGAAAACAAAACTGTAAGACTCAATACGCAGTGAAGCATCTCCCTCCCGCCTAGATACCGTCTGCTCAGTTCTCATTTCCCGCCGTCATGTTTCTGATGTATTCAAGTTTCTTTACGCACATGTAAGTGAATAGGAATTCAGCCTGAGTTTGTTTCTTTTTCTTTTTACAGAAAAGTTAGCATAGTACACATACAGTTACATTTTTCACTTAGTAATTCAGATATTCCTCAACTTACAACGGGGCTACACCCCAATAAATCCATCACAGTGAGACAAACCATTGGAAGTCAAGGACTGTACTTGGGGATCATTCCCTGGCAGCACACAGAGAGTGTCCTCAATTTCTTCTTCTACAGTATCCACTGGCCAGACAGAGCACAGGCCCCTAGTGATGGACACCAGGATTGTTTCCTGCTCTTAGAAACAATGCTGAATTATAACCCTGCACATACGCCTTTTTTTTTTTTTTTTGAGATGGAGTCACTCTATTGCCCAGGCTGAAGTGCACTGGCATGATCTCACCACAATCTCCACCTCCTGGGTTCAAGCAATTCTCCTGCCTCAGCCTCCTGAGTAGCTGGGACTACAGGCATGCACCACCACACCCAGGTAATTTTTGTATGTTTAATAGAAATGGGGTTTCACCACGTTGGCCAGGCTGGTCTCAAATTTCTGACCTAAGGTGATCCACCCGCCTTGCCCTCCCAAGGTGTTGGGATTAAAGACGTGAGCCACCTGCCCAGCCACATATGCCATTTTATACTTATGGAAATGTATCTAAAGGATAAGTTCCCACAGGCTGAAGTACTGGGTCAAAGAGAAAACATATTTTTAAGTATAGAAAGTCATTGAGATGTTTCACAGAAAGAAGACATGACTGAAAAAGTTCAGTGAATTAACTCTGAGAGTTTGGCTAAGAACTCCCTATCAGCCGTGTGTGAAGCCCAGGTTTGCCCCTTGGCCCCCCTCACCTGGCTAGCCTATGGGACTCCACTGCATGTTTATAAAATCAGAAGCACTCAGCCGTACCGCTGGGATTTTAGCTGCTACAGTGTGTACAGTGCATAACAGTCCTCATACAGCTGCCAGAGGGAATACACTGCCTTTTCTGCAAACTGAACACTGGAGGCTTTTGAGATCACCACAAGTCTGTTACTGCACAAGCCTTTGGAAGTGTGGGGCTGGCAAGAAGAGCAAGGCAGCTGCTGAATAACTGCCCAGACCCAGGCACCAGGGCAGGGAGGGCAGGAATGAGGCCTCCACCAGTACAGCCAGTGCCTTTCATTCATTTCTCTTTTTTTTCAGAAAGGGTTTCACCCTGTCACCCAGGCTGCAGCGCAGTGGTGCAATCATAGCTTACGGCAGCCTCGATTCGCTAGGCTCAAGCAATCTGCCTTCCAAAGTGCTGGGATTACATGCGTGAGCCACTGTGCCCCGCCTCATTCATTTCTGTCCTTGATCAAAGGCCTATTGCATGTCAGGCACTGTGCTCAATGCCCATGGCCACTGATAAGCCTGGTGCTTTGGACCCCCCCAGCCTCGGCCCTGCCGCTGCCTTCTCAGGCCTTTATCAGGGCAAGAAGCCTCAGGACTGGGTAGCTATGTGAGCCCACCTCTTTAGGTGAGCCCTGGCACTGTGTCAGCAAGTCATTCACCTGGCTGGGCCTCCATTTCCTCATCCATCCCAAGAAGGGGAAAATATTCCCAATACTGCTACATAGAAACCCAAGAGGTCTGAAGAACAATCCCATTTCTGTAAAAATAGACAAATCCAGGAATGTGTATATAAAAAAATTCCCACAGAAGAGAGAGATACAAGATGGCTGATTACTAGCAGCTCAGGATTGTAGCTCCCAGTGAAAATGCAGAGAACGAGAGGACGCCACACTTTCAGACGAATTTTTGTTGCTCATGGACCAGGAGATTCCCAGTGGAGGAGCCCTATGGGTCGCCAGCGCGACTCTTGTGGCTGGCGCAGCGGTTCTCGGTGCAGCATAAATGGGACTGGGTCCCCTTTTGGCCAACGTTTGAAGCTCCGGGAAGGCAGAGTTGCCCATTCAGCTGATTGAAAAGGGACTCAAGAGGGAAGCCAGACTGGAGATTCCCAGGCAGAAAAGTACCATGAAGCTTAATGCTGCTGTTTTAGCCAACACAATGGGTTGCTCAGATTCTGGTGGTGGGAATCAACAAGCTGGACGTCTACTCAGAGACGTAACTTGAAAGTCAGTAATTACAAAGATGACAGGTGGATAAATTTACAATGAAGGGAAGAAACCAGCATAAAAAGGCTGAGAATAGCCAAAATCAGAGTGCTTCTCCCTCTAAAGGGGATCACAGTTCCTCATCAACAAGTGAACAAGGCCTGATGGAGAACAAGTGTGTTCCATTAACAGAATTAGGCTTCAGAAGGTGGATAATAAGAAACTTCTGTGAGGTAAAAGAACATGTTCTAGCCCAATGTAAAGAAACTAAGAACCTTGAAAAAAGGTTTGACAAAATCCTAAGGAGAACTGACAATTTAGAGAGGAATATAAGTGAATTAATGGAACTGAAGAATACAATAGAACTCCATGAAGTATGCACAGGTTTTAACAGTTGAATTGATCAAGCAGAAGAAAGGATATCAGAGGTTGAAGACCAACTTAATGAAATGAAACGAAAAGACAAGATTAGAGAAGAAAGAGTAGAAAGGAATAAGCCAAGTCTCCAAGAAATATGGGACTATGTGAAAAGACCTAATTTACGTTTGATAGGTGTACCTGAATGTCACGAAGAGAATGAATCCAAGCTGGAAAATATTCTTCAGAATATTATTAAGGAAAACTTTCTTAACCTAGTAAGGCAGGACAATACTCAACTCCAGGTAATCCAGAGAACACCACAAAGATATTCCTCAAGTAGAGCAACCCCGAGACACATAATCGTTAGATTCACCAGGGTTGAAATAAAGGAGAAAATTCTAAGGGCAGGTAGAGAGAAAGGTCTGGTTTCCCATAAAGGGAAGCCTAGCAGACTCACAGCAGATCTCTCAGCAGAAACCCTACAAAAAACTAGAAGAGAGTGGGGGTGAATATTCAATATCTTCAAAGAAAAGAATTTTCAATCCAGAATCTCATATCCAGCAAAACTAAGCTTCATAAATGAAGGAAAAATAAAATTTTTTGCAAACAAGCAAGCACTCAGAGATTTCATCACAACCAGGCCTACTTTACAAGAGCTTCTGAAAGAAGCACTATACACAGAAAGGAACAACCAGTATCAGTCATCCCAAAAATTTACCAAAAGGTAAAGAGTATCTCCATAATGAAGAATCTATATCAACTAATGGGCAGAATAGCCAGCAAGCATTAAACAACAACATTGAACTCACAAATATTAATATTAATCCTAAATTTAAATGGATTAAATGCCCCAATCAAAGACACAGACAGGCAAATTGAATAAAAAGTCAAAACCCATTGGTACACTATATCCAGATCCAGATCCATCGCATAAGCAAGGACACACAAAGACTCAAAACAAAGGGTTGGTGGAAGACTCACCAATCAAATGGAGAGAAAAAAACAAAACAAAACAGGAGTTGTAACTTTTGTCTCTGACAAAATAGACTTTAATAGTAACAAAGACTAAAAGAAACAAAGATGGACATTACATAATGGTAAAAGGATCAATGCAAGAATAGGAGTCAATGATCATAAATATATATGCACCCAATATAGGAGCATCCAGATACATAAGACAAGTTCTTAATGACTTATAAAGAGACTTGGACTCCCACACAATAATAGCGGGAGACTTTGACACCACATTGTTAATATTTGACGGATCAACGAGATAGAAAATTAACAGGCACATCTACGATTAGAACTCAGACCTGGAACAAGTAAACTCAGTGAATATTTATAGAATTTTTCACCCCAGGTCCACAGAACATACATTTTTCTCAGTATCGCATTACACCTATTTTGAAAGTGACCACATAATTGGAAGTAAATCACTCTTCAGCATTTGCATAGCATTTCACAGACTTAAATGAAATATTGGTTGGCTGTTTGTTATTTTCTTCCCTTATTCCTTCCTGTCTCCACTGTTAAGCACAATTATCGGCATAAAGGAGGCTTTTGATACCTATTTTTAGATTGCAGTCCAGCCTGGGCAATAGAGCAAGACTCCTGTTCTCTCTCCCCCTTTGTGTTTCTCTTTCTTTCTTTATTTAAAAAAAAAAAAATTCCCACAGAAGAATATACTCTAAAATATCTATTGTGGTAGAGTCCCATAAGCTTTTCTTTTCCTTTTCATTTACTTTCTACCTTTTCTATACTTAGCTTTTTGAACTTTTCAAATAAAGAGAGTGACTAAATGGTTTCTAAGGTTATTTTCTAGAGATGTTGTGGGTCAAAATTAAAGACACGGTAGCCAGGCACGGTGGCTCACGCCTGTAATCCCAGCACTTTGGGAGGCCAAGGCAGGGGGATCACGAGGTCAGGAGATAGAGACCAACCTGGCTAACATGGTGAGATCCCGTCTCTACTAAAAATACAAAAAATTAGCTGGGTGTGGTGGCGCACGCCTGTAGTTCCAGCTACTTGGAAGTCTGAGGCAGGAGAATCGCTTGAATCTGGGAGGCAGAGGTTGCAGTGAGCAGAGATTGTGCCACTGTACTCCATCCTGGGTGACAGAACGAGACTCTGTCTGAAAAAAAAAATTAAAGATACAAGTTAAAGGGAAAGTTATTTATTTCAATAATGGTGAATACCCCTACAGTTAAATACTCACCGGAAAATTCAAATCCTGACCAGGGAACCATGCCATTTGCATTCCTACACATGACATTTGCCCATGCTGGCTCATGTCTCGGGGTGGCTGGCATTCAGCTCTCCAGATGGTTGGGCTGCAGGTGTCCCTAAGGTGCACCCTGACAGTGGCTCTGCTCTGCCCGAGCTGCAGAGTGAGTTTTTCTGGCTTACATGACAACCTACTTCCCTTCCATTCCTCTGTTCTCCATTAATCTCCATCAGCCTCTCAGTTTCCTGGAGGGTTTTCTACATTGTACAGTTAACTGTAAAGAAAACTGCAACAGCAGCAAAATGTGGGGTGAGGGGGTCCAAACACAAGCACCCAGCTACTTGGGAGGCTAAGGCAGGAGAGTCATTTGAACCCGGAAGGGGGAGGTTGCAGTGAGACGAGATCATGCCATTGCACTCCAGCCTGGGTGACAGGGGAAGGCTCTGTCTCAGAAAAAAAAAACCGGATGTGGATGCTGTAATGGTGCCCTAGGAGACTACTCACCCGCATCACAGTCAGACTCAGCCATTCAAGCAGCACCCACATGAGAGGAGAGTCACCAACATGGAGCCTCTCAGAAAAGGCCCAAGGGCAGCCTGGGCAACTAGCCCATCTCTATAAGAAACTGAAAAATTAGCCAGGTGTGTTGGCTCACACCTGTCATTCCAGCTACTCGGGAGGTCCCAGCCCAGCAGGAGTGTCCAGCCCCGGAACAACAGCATTCACTCGGTTAAACCTCACGGTCTGAGGGTGGCAGCTGTGCCGTTTTCCATAATTAGTCAGGAAGAGTGCACCTGACGGGGCACGGTCCTCACCTGTGGGGCACAACCAGAACAAGAAACACTTCTGCAATGCTACTGGGAAGTCTGAGCTCACCTTCTTTACCTTGGCACCGAGCTGAAGATCTACTAGAAACCGTCTCCAACCACGGATGTTCAGGAGAAACGGTGGCCACCGCCCAGAAAGAGGTGTCCTTTTTCTAGCAGGTGAAACTGGCCCCACTCCACCACCACCTGGGAGACAACACAAAACAAGAGGCCCCAGGGGTCTGCCTGGGAAGCTGCTGGGCCTGAATGTCCTCTCAGCAGTTAACGGGCACGTTCAGCACGTGGGGCTCTGCTTTCTGAATGAGGCAGCATTACAGCATCCACATCTGATTTTTTTTTTTTTTAGACAGAGTGTTCCTCTGTCACCCAGGCTGGAGTGCAATGGTGTGATCTTGGCTCACTGCAACTTCCACCTCCCAGGTTGAAATGATTCTCCTGCCTCAGCCTCCTGAGTAGCTGGGAACATCCAATTTTTAAAACTGAAGTATAACATAAATACCATGTAGTATACGAGGCACAGGAATCTCAAGTACACGGCTTGCTGAATGTTTACACCCTTCACACCCGCACAGCTGCCACCTGGACAGAGATACCAGCCCTTCCCAGCACCGTGCCAAGCACCGCAGGTTCCTTCCAATCCATTTACCCATCCCAAATCCCCTCTGTGGCTACGTGCCCTTTCCTACTGCGGTGAGGATTCCATTGTACAAACAGGTGAAATTTATGGACTATTTCCTCTAGTTAGGTGCTATTATGAATAAAGCTGCCATGGATTTGCTTGAACATGTCTTTTTTTTTTTTTTTTTTTTGAGAGAGTCTTGCTCTGTTGCCCAGGGTAGAGTGCAATGGAGTGATCATAACTCACTGCAGTCTTGAACTCCTGGGCTCAAGGAATCCTCCCACCTCAGCCTCTGAAAGGGCTAGGCATACAGGCACGCACCACTACACCTGGCTATTAACAGATTTTTTTTTTTTTTTGTAAAAAAGAGGTCTCACTATGTTGCCTAGGCTGGTCTCAAACCCCTGGCCTCAAACGATCCTCTCACACTGGTCTCCCAAAGCACTGGGATTACAGGTGTGAGCCACCACACTTGGCCTTGAACATGTATTTAAAAAAAAGTAGCCTGACTGATATACAATGCCCATACCATAAAATTCACCCCGTGAAAGAGCACAATAGCTTTTAGTATACTCACAAAGTTGTGCAACCATCTAATTCCACAACAGTGAACATACCTTGTTGTGAACATATGTCTTCGTTTCTCTTGGGTAAATACTGAGGTGGGGGGTTTACTTCGTTATTACGTAGATGTTGTTTAGCTTTGGTGTTTTCTAAAGCATAAATGTCATTCCACGATCCTCACCAGCATTTGGTATTGCAAGTTTTTTTCACTGTAATCATTCTTTTGGGTGTGTGATTCCACATCAGAGTTAATGCCACTTTGTCTCAATTCCCCATTCTCTTACTGCCAAACTGAAAGCTGAAATTTCATCTAGCAATAGAGAACTCTTCTAACAATCTTTAGGACTGACATTTTTTTTCCTTTTCTTTTGAAAAAATAAACACCAGTGTAGCACTTCCAAAATGTTATATAATATGATATATCAGGTCTGCTGAGATACTTCAAAAATTGAAAAAAAAAAAAGACTAACATTAACTGCTTAAGACACATTAGTTTAAATAATTCTTGCGACATTTCTGTAAAGTGTATACAATTATTCCCATTTTACATACAAGCAAGCTGACACATAAAGAAGTTATTTGATTTTTCTAAGGTCACACTTTCCAGAGAACGAGATTCTTACCCAAGTCTTCCTGACTCCAAAATGCTGGGTGCTTGTCCCTTCTCTCTACAGTCTCATCTCCATATAGAGATGAGTCTTATTAAGATAGGCCATTCTATACACCTGCTGAGTACATTTGCTGACATAACATCTTTGTACAAGGCAACATGAAAAAAATTTTCAGGATAAAAGAAACCTTCATTAAAAGCATGAGTATTGAAACCAGGTTATATATTATGTAATTCTTAAACATTCTTAAACAGCCCAACTATAACTTGAAGAAAATAATAATAAGCATGGCTGACTTCATAGAAGATACAGGCTTCAAATAATCAGGACTGATCAGATCTGGGTGGTTCATACAGCAGTAGCTCAATAACCCAAAAATGCATCTACCGTCACTGCCCATGGGCTCAATACCAGGCCGGTTAACTGTGGGTGGGGGATAAAATAAGGCATTCTGTCAGTGCTTCAAAGTGAACTCTTATTCTGAGTTATGGAGTGTTCTGTCTATCTGTGAAGGACAGAACATATATAGCATATTCCAATGGAAGATGAGATTTAATAACTGCCAAAGCATTGCACTCCCTTATCCTAACATTTTAAGGGTGCACAGAGGAAGTAAATCCACTGCATGGCACAGCCCAATGGCAGCAAATGTTTGGCAATTTGGAATAACCGGATCAACGCTGCTCCCAGTGAAATTTCTAAGGCAGAGGCAGGAATGCAAGGCCTGCAGTTATGAGAATACTCCTACTTCCACCTGAAGGAAAAAATATGTTTTCACAGATAACAAACCCTCCCTTTGTGGGCAGAGGGCAAGGCATAGGTAGCAACAGGTGACTGCATCACTGAAACTGAAGACTTGGAATTTCAAGAGGATAAGTCTAACATTGGGTGAAAAAGTAAATTCTTTCGTTCTTTTCTGGAGGGGGAGGGGTAGCCACTGCACAAAGGACTAACCTGAGACTTGAAAACAATGACTCCTAATTCCATGTGGACTACAAATTTTGAAAGTATTGTAAAAGTCACCAAATCTTTTGCAATTCAAATTATGCCTCTGGGTGCTCTGCTAGATGTTGGGGATGTAACCCTGGACGTGCCCTGCCTTCCTTGGGCTCACAGGCTGACATAGCAGGTGGATTGCTGGGAAGTACAGTTACCTGATTATTATTACTCTTCTGTTTTCCTTTACTTCTCCTGACAGGGAGAAAAGAGAAAGTGGTGGGCATTTGATTTATCAAATCTTGACTAATCACCTACTATATTCAAGGCCAACTGTAACCACACTGGAAAATAGTGCAGAAAACACACAAAGCCCCAAGTAGGAAATAATGGCCTGAGGGTGAGGCAGGAAAGAAACAAGACAAAATTCTTCTAGAACACAGATGCAACCCTGGGCCTGCTCCCTGTGCAGCAAGCCGCACCCCGGCCCACCCCACCCCACCCCAGAGCTCACACTAGAGGACTGACGTGGAAGTGTAGCCAGGGAGTCCCTGTTCCCCACAAGATCCTCCCCCTCAACCCTTCTCCTGTCAAACTGTGCAGAAACCACCAAAATTACAAATTCAGTCTCATGGCTGGTTGTATTCACATGATACAAAGCAATTAGTTGTTGACTTAAAAACTTTTCTTGTTGCATATTTGACTGGCTATTTTGGAGTCCTATAAACAAGCACCATTTGCTCACACTTCACTGTCTGGCCTTAAAATTAGACACAGTCTACTTATACCCAAAAAAAGCAACACCAAAAATCTTCACCTAAAAAAATGACCAGGTTAGTGCAAAGTGCCAATGTACAGTCAAGAAGGGGAAAAAGGGCCAGGGGCAGTGGCTCATGACTGTAATGCCAGGATTTTGGGAGGTCGAGGCAGGTGGATCACTTGAGGTCTGGAGTTTGAGACCAGCCTGGCCAACATGGTGAAGCCCCATCTCTACTTAAAAAAAATACAAAATTAACTGGGCATGGTGGCGTGGGCCTGTAGTCCCAGCTACTCAGGAGGCTGAGGCAGGAGAATCGCTTGAATCAGGAGGAGGAGGAGATTGCAGTGAGCTTAGATCACACCGCTGCACTCCAGCCTTGGTGACAGAGCAAGACTCAGTTTCAGAAAAAAAAAGAAAGCAAGAAGGAGGAAAAGCAAGTTTGGACTACTTTTTGAAAGAGGAGAGCAATTTGCACAGTAAAAAAAATGGGTGAATGACTACACTTTACACAAATCCCACTTTTGGGGAATAGAACAGGAAAACAAGCGTGAGGAGGCCGCCGGGTATCAGGCCACCAAGATGTCTCTAAGGCACAACATAACAGAACAGTTATTTTCACAAAACTGCAACAAGCCAATATCTGCTAAACAATCTTTCAAAGCTACATGCCATGCCTTTCTATCACTGATGCATCCGAACTTAGCTTTACCATAAAAAAGTCTGCTCCTTCAAATTTCCCAAGAGCTGCTTCATCTGGGCTGTTACTCCGCTGACACAGGCCATCGGTCCTGGCCATGGTCTGCCCTCTGGTTTGGGCACGAGCAGAACCTGACATGCTCTTTGCTAATTGCCCTATGTTCTTCCACACCCTAGGGAACTTAGTTTTAGGAAAACACAAAGAGGGTCTTTACCAAGAAAAGCGAACCCCAACAGAATAAATGGCACAAGGAAAGGAAAGAATGGGTATATCACAAGACCATGGGGCAATGACGTTACTCTACGAGCTACATGCAGAATTCCATCTTTCTGTTTCTGATGGGAGTGCAAAGGTGTGCAGAATAAAATCAGTTTATGAGCAAGCACTCGCTCCACATGTTTATTCAGTACCATCCTACAATAAGCCAAGCACACATCAATTCATCCCCTAGGGGAGGCCTTGCAAATGTTCCCAATTAACTGGCCTTGATATTGCACAAACGAGTTTCCTTTTTTTTTTTTTTTTTTTTTTAAGTTATCTAACGGCACCCATAAAAACCTTAGAGTCAGAAAATTTGCAGAAAGTAAAGACATCTCCTCAGTAAATGAACAAATGATAAATGAGCAAATTCATTCAGGTCAGAAGTTGTGAAACAGAATTGTTACATATTTTTGCAACACAGAAGATTGTGATGATCAAAGGCACTAAAAATAGCCCGAAAAAAATGAAGACAACATAACTGGAAATGAAAAAAAAAACAAGAACCTTATTCAAAATAGCAAACTGTCCACTCATAGCACTCACTTATCTAGGAATTATTTTGACAATAGGAAATGGAATTTAATAAAATTTTTTCCTGAATCCAAAACTGTATTTCCCCTCCCACATTCCCTCTGGGAAACCTTGTTCATAAACAAACAATTCCCAGCTAACTAACTTCTTGGCTGGCTCTTTCCATGCGAATGGCAGCTCCCAAACTTGCCACTTCATGTTCCGGTCGCCTCATCAGTGATGTCATGGAAAGACACCAGACATGCTGTTATTATTGTTGAGCTAGAGTCTGCAAAGGAAATTATGCTGCCGCCTCTAGGTCTTAATTTTCCATGAAAAATTATTCTCATTGCCATAGCTGCTGAGACAGTGAAAAAGAAAAATGATTTAATTAGGGAACAGCCATAATTAGATTTTTTAAGTACGCTCTTTCAACATGAAAGTTACATTACTGTACAGCTTCGTGTGGTTTAACAGTGTATTTTCATCAGACCCTTCCAGAACATATGAAGGTCCTGAATGACAACCGAAGGAAGAAAAGGAATGCTAAACTGCTATCAGGAAGTTATATCTGAAAGGAGCTTTGAAACGTGATAGGAAGAAGTGAGCAGCTAAGATGGGAAGAACCTCAAATAGTGAACTGGGGAGACTAGTCCCTTCTTTTGTGCTTATCGTTCCACATCCAGGGGGTAGAGAAAGACAGTAACAGGCTCCCCACCTGAGAGAGTGTGGCAATCAGGATGAGAATGCAAGGATGACTAGAAAGAAAGAAATAACAGGCAGGGCACGGTGGCTCACGCCTGTAATCCCAGCACTTTGGGAGGTCAAGGCAGGCGGATCATGAGGTCAGGAGATGGAAACCATCCTGGCTAACATGGTGAAACCCCGTCTCTACTAAAAATACAAAAATTAGCTGGGCTTGATGGTGCGCACCTGTAGTCCCAGCTACTTAGGAGGCTGAGCCAGGAGAATTGCTTGAACCCAGGAGGTGGAGGTTGCAGTGAGTCAAGATCCAGCCATTGCACTCCAGCCTGGTGACAGAGCTAGCTTCCATCTCAAAAACAAAAGAAAGAAACAATAGTAGTAATAGAATACAAAGTAGAAAAATGAAGAGAATCAACTCTGTTCAGCATAGACTTGACCTAGGAGAGCAAAGTGTGATGGGCTTTGTAAACATAATTACAGGCTTTCCCCTGTAGTCTAGAGAGAGAAAGAGAAAGAGAAAGAGAGAGAGAGAGAACCAGAAATTGAACCTTTAAGAACTATGATTACAGAATATGAGAGATTTGTTTACTTGTCACCTCCTCAGAAGTTCAAGGTATGATTCAATGTTAAGTCTTGAAACTTCCCTACAAATGTATCTCAAAAAATTAGTGAAGGGTTAAAAAAAACTACATTATTCAGAAGTCATGAAATCTGTGTGATTCCACATTAAAAGAAATTCATCTTTTTCTCTTAATTCCACCAGAAACATCGAGAGTTTTACGAAAGGTCTCGGAGACATTCTAAAATTCTAAACGTGGAACCTGAATAACATCTGTTGACAACACTTTCATGAGTTCATCGTATATTTCAAACAGGTTTAATTTTATCTAGTACACTGACATAACCGAGCCTTCTTCTTAGTTCAGTACTGTGGCAACAGATCAAGACACATGTCAGTATGTCACTGAAGAAAGACATTAGACCCTGCCACTACCTTCACCCAAGCTTCTGAAACCTGGAAAAATAGCAGGAGAGTTAGGCAGTTGAAACTCAGAAAAATTCCTAGGCAGCTAAGAGATCTTCATAAGGATACATCAAACAGGCTGAAATTTACCAGCTGACTCGCCTCTTTAGGGAAACTCCTGTATGGGAAACATGGTCAGGGATGGTGGTCATGTTACCCACAAGGAGGCGTTGTTATGGAGACAGCTTTGAAGGATCTCTGGCAATTCCAGTGTATAATTAAGGCTAGTGAGTGATCACAGAACAGTCAGCACGGTGGTCTCCATGGAAACCACCAAACATACATTTTCACATGGAGGGCAAATATTCTGAATCAATGACTCTTTATATAGGTTTAAAAACATTGTGAATGGTGCATCAATTGCTTCTTTTGTGAGACAATAACTGATTAAATATGCTGTGAGAGACCTTGTCTTCACGTATGCTGAATTATGAGCAGTGTCTAGAATAGACAGTCCACACTAGATTTACTACCTAGAACTAGTGAATACAAATAGTAAATTCAGACCCAGGAAATCACTGCTTAATTTCATGAGAGAATTAAAACAGCAGATTGTTAAGTCAAGGAAGACCTGTCAACCTAGCATTAATCTAGGGCTGTCTACATATTATTTAATCCTCTCAATAACATAGACATTATTATTACACTGTTTACAGATGAGAAAAAATGACTCACACACCTAGATAGTGGCAGACAAGACTCAAAGCTAGGTCAGAATTAAGTCTTGGTCTAGGTCCATATGACTCCACATAATGCGCTGTCTGCAGAGCACTTTTCCACCACCAGCCATTTCACATACATTATCTCATATATGCTGCTTTAAAACACTTAGGACATCAGGTTCTAGCATTTTCTAATTTTGCAAAATGTCCCCCACTCCAGTTCCTTGACTCCCTTCCCAACTTCTGTACCCACAATGCACTCCAGGTTGCAGGACTTACATGAGACCATGTCTGAGAAGGATTTGACCATCTTTCACTTCCATAGTATGAACAAGCATTCCATCCTAGGGAGCAATGGGAAGGAAAACCTCATGCCATAAGTGTAACAAGGTCTCCCTCTGTGGCTCAGGCTGGAGATAAGTAGTGCAATCACAGCTCAATGCAGCCTGGAACTCCTGACTCAAGCAATCCTCCTGCCTCAGCCTCCCAAGTAGCTGGGACTACAGGTACAAGCAATCATACTTGACTAATTTTTAAAAACTTTTTGTAGAAATAGTGTCTTGCTATGTTGCCCAGGCTGGTCTTAAATTCCTGGCCTTAAGCAATCCTCCTGCCTTGGCCTCCCAAAGTGCTGGGATTACAGGCATGAGCCACCACGCCCAGCCTGTAAGTATAAAATCTGACGTCCAAACAAAGCAAAAAGAGGGACAAACAATCCAATTAACTGCTTGTAGCATTTACAACACAATCAACCATGAGAGAAAGTGGAATTTGGAGATGGGGTGAAAGAAGTTCAGATTGCTGCATATTTCCAACTGTAATCAGTCTATTACATAATTCTTAAATCTGGCAAATGCTTTATTAAGCAGGCACTGATAATTAAAAATATAGTTCCTAGCAGATCATTATGTAATGCTACAATTGAATGTAAATGTGATTAGCATTTAGTCCTGAATACCAGAGAAAACTGTCAACACTGTCAGAGCTTGTTATAATCATAATGTTTTCGCACTATCTTTGGATATCTTCTAGTTCAGACTCCTTGCTTTATGGCTAAAACAACAGAGGATTAGAGGGTGTCTTAGTCCATCTGGACTGCTATAACAAAATACTGTAGGCTGGGTAGCTTACAAACAATAAAGATTTGTCTCTCACAGTTCTGGAGGCTGGTAAGGCCAAGATCACAGCCCCTGCAGAGATTCCATGTCTGGTGAGGGCTGCTGGCTCCGAGATGGCACTTTCTCACAGTGTCCTCAGGGTGGAAGAAGCAAGGCAGCTCTCTGTGAGCTCTTTCACAAGGACACTAATGCCTTTCATGAGGGCTCTGCCTTCATGATTTACCCACATCCCAAAGGCCCCTCCTCTTACTACCATCACCTTGGGGCTTAGGATTTTAGTGTATTAACTTTAGGGGAACATAGACATTCAGACCAGAGGAAAGGGGTTCAGCGAATAGTGACCACAGTCAAACACTGAGTACTTCTTCCTTTCCTTTTTTCCCAAGACACCAGTCCCTCTACTATGCACCTCATGGAAAAGACCAGAGCCACCATGTATGACTCGCTGCTGTCACTGCCCAGGGCATTTCCAATACCACCAAACTGTAGGAATCTAGTGCCTGGGCAACATAACAAGATCTCATATCTACAGAAAAATAAAATTAGCCTGGTATGGTGGTATGTGCCAATAGTCTCAGCTATTGGCACTGGGGAGGCTGAGGTAGGAAGACTGCTTGAGGCCAGGAGTTTGAGGATACTGCCACATGATCACATCACAGCATCCCTGCCTGAGTGATACAGAGATCCTGTCTCTAAAAAGAAAAAAAAAAAAAAAAACGAGTGTATCTCAAATCCCATGGATGTACCTGTTTCAGGCCAGCAGTACATTATGACATAGTTTTAGGGAAGGGGTAGGGGAGGCAAGTGGGTGCCTAGGCTGCAGCATTTGAGGTGCTTGTTCACACTCAGGCACTGACCCAGCACCGACGGCCCGAGAGTGAGGGCCACCCTCATCTTGGTTCCATGTATATGAAAAATGAAACTCTAACAATAGAAAATATAAATGAAACCAAATCAAAAGACTTATCCTAAGCAAGCTACGAAAAGTTATTTTTGCAGGGCCATAGAAAAAACAGACAAAGGCTCGGTTTTTTGGTCCGTCACTGTCTTCGGGACATGAGATGGTGGTAGCAATTACGGCATTAGCTTTAAAGGAAGAAAGTGATCTTACAGAGGCAGCTTTGAAGCGGGGAGCACAGGCTGGCTCCTCAGGCCCCACAAGCGTGGCTGCAGCTGTCTGGGGAAGATTCACCCCTGCTAGCTCTTGGCCACATAAACTCACTCTGACCTCCACTGCTTCTTCCCAGTGATGCTGAGAACTTGAGTCGGTTTGAAGCTGACACAAGTAAGACAAAGCACTACTCAATCCAGGAAGAATTCTCATGTGAGGACTGAAATCTGCTGGAGAAACTGACTAGGAGAAAACTATAAACACACACACCACATCTTCCTTACGCATGCCCCTGCATTTCTCTTCAATTTGTTCGCTTTGTTCTGCCTGAGTGCTTTACATTGCGCCTAAGAGAGGATCCTGAGATTTTATGAAGATGCAGTCAGATTTCACATGTCCAAATTTACCAAAATGAGAGGTTATTTTTTAAAGCATTGCTAAATATTCTGATATGTTTGACTTCTTAAGTTTTTTCTCAAATTTCCAGAGAGAGAAACATTAACAATAGTGATAGCAACATAAAATGACTTTGAAGGCACTTTTCCCCATGCTAAGTATTTACAGATCTGAGGAAGATACTGAAAAAGGTCAGGACCAGAGAGAGACGTGGACGCCTTCTCTCAGAACTTGGAACTGATGAAGTTGATGTGATATCTTCAAAAACAGCCCAAAATGGGGCCTTTTGGAACAGTGAAGAAGGCCCCCTTGGCCCCCTGAATGACCTCCCTACCTGTGTATTTTTTAATCTTCACATAAACCCAATTCTCTGGTACCACTGAAACATCCTCCTGAGTCACTTTCTGAACATGCTGGCATCCAGTGGAGGGCCAATGACATCATGGGAATGCTGTATTGCTAAGTATGATTTTGTTGTATTTCAAATGTCAGCACATTTTGATGTGTAGGTGGTCCAAAGAACAGATACATATTCTACCATGAGGATCACGAGCTTATTTTCAAATAGGAAAGAGAGAGAGAGAGAGAGAGAGAGAGATTGCTTGATGTACCCAAGGCTGGAAGAGAGAGATCTTAATGGCTCATTGAATCCAATTCTCATTTGAGAAGAATTAGCATTAAACCACAGCAACCAATTAAAAATCCTTCCTCTTCTGAATTAAGTATTGAGGAGAAAAGTATAAACCTCTCTCAGAATTTAAGAAGAAAAGAAAAATACAATAAATGAAAAAAAGACTTGAAACTAGTGGTCAAATGGGTAAAGTTATATACATAGGGGAAAAAATGTCCTAAATCCTAAAAGACAGGATTTAAGCACTATGCTTTCAGCACCATTACTTTACAGCTCTCAGGGGTGATTTGCATGCCATAAAATTCACTTATTGTAAAGTGAATGATTGCCAATGAACAAATTAATAAATTAACTTAAATGGTGATGCAACCATCACCACAATCTGGTTTGAAAGTTTTCATTAGCCAAAACTTTCCTTTGAGTCTATTTGCAGTCCATTCCTTTCTCCAATAAGCCACTGGTATACTTTCCGTCTCTCTAAATTTGCTTTGTTCTGGACATTTCACAAATGGAGTAATACCGTATGTATTCTTTTGTGACTGGATTCTTTAGCTGAGCATAGTATTCTTGACGTTCATCCATGCTGTAGCAATGTAATAATAGCCCATTCCTTCTGATTATTGAATAGTATTCCAAATTGTATATAGATGCTATATCTTGTTTATATATTCACTAGCTGATGGACAGTTAGAATTATTTCTACTTTGGGGTTCTTATGAATAATGCGAATATGAACATTCATGCATGAGTTCTTTTGTGGCCACATATTTTCATTTCTCTTGGATAGATTTGTAAGAATAGAATTGCTACGTTGTAGTCACTTTATGTTTAGTCTTCTAAGAAACTACCAAACTGTATTCCAGAGTGGATGTATAGATGCCTACCAGCAATTTATGAACATTCTGGTCTCTCCACATCCTTACCAGCATTTGGTACTGTCTGTATCTTTTCAAGAAATTAAGCAAGTGGGTGTGGGGTGATAACTCATCATGTTTTCGATTTGCATTTCTCTAATGACCAGTGATGCCACACACCTTCCTAGGTACTTATTAACCTATTATTATTAACTTATTATTAAGAAGACAGTAGATATCTTCTTTTGTGAAATATCTGTTCATGTCTTTAGATCAGTTTTATTTTTCATAAGTATCAACATTATCTCTTTTTCTTTTTTTTTTTTTTGAGACGGAGTTTCGCTCTCGTTACCCACGCTGGAGTGCAACAGCACAATCTCGGCTCACCGCAACCTCCGCCTCCTGGGTTCAGGCAATTCTCCTGCCGCAGCCTCCCGAGTAGCTGGGATTACAGGCACGCGCCACCATGCCCAGCTAATTTTTTGTATTTTTTTTTTTTTAGTAGAGTCGGGGTTTCACCATGTTGACCAGAATGGTCTCGATCTCTCGTGATCCAACCGTCTCGGCCTCCCAAAGTGCTGGGATTACAGGCTTGAGCCACCGCGCCCGGCCTATCTCTTTTTCTTTTTGAGAGGAAGTCTCGCTGTCGCTCAGACTGGAGTGCGGTGGCGCAATCTTGGTTCACTGCAACCTCCGCCTCCTGGGTTCAAGTGATTCTCCTGCCTCAGCCTCTCAAGTAGCTGGAACTACAGGTGCACACCACCACGCCCAGCTAATTTTTGTATGTTTAGTAGAGATAGGGTTTCACTTGACCTCAGGTGATCCACCTGCCTCAGCCTCCCAGGCATGAGCCATTTTGTCCAGCCTCAACATTATCATTTTATTTATTATTTTTAGAGTTTTGCTCTTGTTGCTCAGGCTGAAGTGTAATGGCGCAATCTCAGCTCACTGCAACCTCCGCCTCCTGGGTTCAAGCAATTCTCCTGACTCATCCTCCCGAGTAGCTGGGATAACAGGCATGTGCCAGCACGACCGGCTAATTTTGTATTTTTGGTAGAAACGGGGTTTCTCCATGTTGGTCAGGCTGGTCTCGAACTCCCAACCTCAGGTGATCTGCCTGCCTCAGCCTCCCAAAGTGCTGGCATCACAGGTGTGAGTCATTGCGCCCGGTCTATTTATTTAATTTGTATTTTTTTAAACTTTTATTTTAGGTTCAGAGGTACATGCCCAGGTT